AGCGTTCTATAAGTCTTTACCCTGACTATGAAAGAAGCAGACTAGAAAGTGGAAATTTGACACTCGTAATGCTACTTCTCAACGTAATCATCTTGCAGTTTTCTATATTTGTATGAATTTGAAAAGTTCCGGAGCATAAAACAGGCCCTGAATGTTCTTGTAGCCTGGTTGTTTTGTTGTTGTTGTTTGTTTTTTTTGTTGCTTTTTTTTCCCTGCAAGCTTTTTTTAATGATAAGTTAGAATACTAAGAGTACATATTTTCGTTTTGTTTGATTGTTTCGTTTTTTATTGTTGTGTACGTATGATATATAAATCATATTTCATTCATTGTAAGAGAACAGCATTACACAAATAAATGTATTACTTTTTTAGGACAATCTATTTATATTTCTTTGTCATTCTTTTGTTTGTATCTTCTTGTTCTTGTTCCTTTTTTGTTTCAGATTCCTTGCTTTGTTATTATTGCTGCCTTCTGTCATTTCCAAAATAGAAAATACCAAAAAGAACCCCCCTTCCCCTAGAAAAAACATACAAAAAAACAACAACAAAAAACAAAAAACAAAAAACACCCAGCTGTCGTGCAGCAGGTTGACGCAAATTAGGAGAGAGACTGACAGCATAATAAATTTCATATTTGGATTTTATTTTTGTTTTCCCTCACATGGTTAGTATAGTTGACACCTGCCGCCGTGAGGTCATGTAAGTACAAACAAGCCTAAAAGTTAAACTTAGAAAAGTATGGAAATCTTTGTAGGCAATGCAAAAGATGACATATACTGCCACTTTTATTCAACACACAATACTAATCAAGTTGCATTGATTTTCAAGTTTCTAATAAACAGTTTGTTCTCCATTTTATGGGAGAATAATATCATGCAATAAAAAAAAGTAAAGTTAACAGCAAAAGTAGTGATGAGAAGAAGAAGGAAGAAGAAGAAGAAGAAGAAGAAGAAGAAGAAGAAGAAGAAGAAGAAGAAGAAGAAGAAGAAGAAGAAGAAGAAGAATG